TATCCTTTCTTTCGCTTGGTCGATTTGGCTATGATACTTGCGTATTTTTCATGAAGTTCTCATGCTATGTTTTTGAGCTCCATCAGGTCATTTACATACCTCTCTCAACTTGTTATTCGAGTTAGCAGCTCCTGTCACATTCTATCAAGGTTCTTAGCTTGTTTGTATTGGGTTAGAACATGCTCCTTTAGCTCCACAGTGTTTGTGATTACCCACCTTCTGAAGCCTACTTCTGTCAATTCATCCGTCTTATCCTCCATCCAGTTCTGCATCCTTGCTGGAGAGGCACTGCAATCATTTGGAGGAGAAGCAGCACTCTGGCCTTTTGGGTTTTCAACCTTTTTTTGTTGATTCTTTGTCATCTTCATAAGTTTGTCTAGTATTAATCCTTGAGGCTGCTGAGCCTTGGATTCGGTTTTTGTAGGGAATTTTTTGTTGTTGATGCTGTTGTTGTTTGTTTGCTTGTTTTTCTTGCAATGGTCAGGTCCCTCTTCTGCAGGGCTGCTGCCGTTTGCAAGGGGTTCACTTCAGCCCCTCTTCATCTGATTCATTCCCATGCCTGGAGATGTCACTCGAGGAGACTGGAGAACAGCAAAGGTGGGTGCCTGCTCCTTCCTCTGTGATATCTGACCTCAAGGGGCACCAACCTGATGCCAGTAGAAATGCCCCTGTATAGGGTGTCTGACAACCCCTATACAGGAGACACTGTGAAGAAACTGCGTTAGAGGGTCTCGCCCAGTTGGGTAGCATAGGGAACAGGACCCACTTAACGAAGCACTTTGACTGTCCCTTGGTGGAGGGAGTGTGCTTCACTGTGGGGAAACTCACTCATCTGGGATACCCAGATTCCTCAGAACTACCAGGAGGGAAGGCTAAAGTCTGACAGTCCACGGAGACTGTGGCCACCCCTCCCCCTAGAGGCTCAGGCCCAGAGAGATTAGAGTCTGTCCCTAAGCCCCTGGATGGAGTTGTTGGAGTTCCTGCAGGGAGGCCCCGCCCAGTGAGGAGGGACGTGTCAAGGTCCGGCCTGAAGAGGCGCTCTGTCTGCAGTCTGCCACAGCCAGTGTGGTGGGCTGTGGGGGATACTTCTTGGCACAAAGCAGTCCAGCCTCCCTGGCTCCAGCAGAGGAAAGACATGGCCTGGAGCTATAGAGATGACTGCCCCCCTTCCCCCGCCTGGGAACTTAGTGTGTTAGGCAGCTATCGGTCCCATTGTTGGCCATAGCCCCTCCTGCAACGAGCTCAAAGGGCTTAGACAGCAGGCAGCCGCAGCTGTGGTGCTGGTTGCCCCTCCTGATGGGAGCTCCGCAGGCTTAAGCAGATTCTAGCTTAGTGGCTGTTGAAAATCTGCTGGGTTCTGTGGTTGGGACCCTAGGCCCCGGTGGTGTGGGCTCACAGGTGAGATCTTCTGATCCGTGAGTTGCACAGTTCCATGGAAAAAGCACGTTTTCCCAGGCTGGGTAGCAGGCTCATTCACTGCCTCCCTTGGCTGGGGCCCGCGGCACCACACTGCTCTTCCTCCCTCTCTGTGTGTCACGCCAGCTGCCTAGTCAGTTCTGATGACAGAACCTGGATACCTCGGCTGCCAGTGCAGGACTCACATGCTGTTATGGTTCTTTTAGATGGGAGCCACAGATTGCTGCTGCTTCTAGTTGGCCATCTTGGCCCCGACCCCCACTTTTAATTTCTTTCAAGAACTTTTCCTTTGCATTCACAACTTAGCTAACTGTTTGGTGCAAGAGACCTAGCTTAAGGCCTATCTCAGCTTTTGACATACTTTCCTCACTATGCTTAATCATTTCTAGCTTTTGATTTAAAGTGAGAGACATGCTATTCTTTTCACTTGAACACTTAGAAGCCATTGTCGGGTTATTAACTGGCCTGATCTCAATATTGCTGTATCTCGGGGAACAGGGAGGCCTGAGGAGACGGAGAGAGACCTCAGGGGTAGTCAGTCAGTGGGTAGAGTAGCTGAAACACAAACAACATTTATCGATTAAACTTGTTGTCTTACATGGATATTGTTCATGGCACTCCAGAACCATTACAATAGTAATTGTAATTGTAATAATCAAAGATAACTGATCACAGATTACATAAGAGATAAAGAAAATAATTTTTTAAAGTTTCAAATAATTTGAGAATTACCAAAATGTGAGACAGAGACACAAACTGAGCACAGGCTGTTGGAAAAATGTCACCAACAGACTTGCTTGACACAGAGTTGTCATAAACCTTTGATCTGTAAAAAACTGCAGTATCTGTGAAGCACAATAAAGGGCAGCACAATAAAACGAGGTGTGCCTGCGCTAAGTCCAAAATGGTGATTCCTATAGCAACACTGACATCCCAAACCCCTATCCTTGGCTTCATACCTAAATATCAAGCGATTCACATTTCACACAGGTGGTTCAAATGAACACATCCAACGTGAACTCATTCTCCCTGCCACATCTACAAAGCTGCTTCTTTGCCCCAGTTATTGGTTTAGTTACCCAAGCTAGAAACTGGAAGGCTTCCCGGGCCATTCCTTCCCCCTGTCTCAACCCATCAGAGTCCTGCTAATTTTGTTCCTGTTTACATCTCTCAAGTTCCCTTTGTCTATCTCACGGTCTGGTTGGTATCCTTATCCTCCTTGGCCTGGAGTACTCAAGCAACACCCTACCTTGTCTCTCTGCTCCAGTTTTATCTCCTATAATCCATCCTATGCGATGTAGAAACCATAACGACCTTTTTCAAATTCAAAACTGCCAAATCAGTTCCTGCAACTTACCTACCTACAACCCTTCAATGGTTTCCTAAGATCTACAGAGTTAAATCCAAGCTAGTTCAGTTATCCATTTTTTCAGTCTGATCTCCTGTCATTCCTAGTCTACTTTTTGGTATATTGGTCCAGGTCATTCTCTACAAACACTTGGCTCATGCTGTCCTTTCTGCTAGAATATTTATCCCCAACTCTTCCTCATTTAACTAACTTGTACTTATCATTTACAACTCTATCCAGGCAACACATCATTCCCTTCATCTGCTTTTTCTATTGAATAATTATTGGAAGAATATTTTCTATGCCTTCAAATCTAAATTTACTAAAAGTTCCACTTGTAAGAGATACATTCCAAAGTAACATCAGAAGATTGTGTTCTTCTGGTAATACTAACCCATCATATATATTTGCTACACTAATGGCTGATCCTATATTGTGGACATCATTAAGATAGGCAACACAATTAAAAATATAAGTATGTATATGTGTGTGTATGTCTATATAGTTTCCCTTAAATAGCTATCCCATGTTAGCCACTGCAATTTGTAAAATTGGTAATGATTGAGAAAGGAGGCCCAATGGTGTGAAGGAAAGAAAACCAATTTTGGAAAAGAGAACTGGATTTGGATTTAAGCTCCATCATATCTGGTTTAATGTTATAGAATAAAGAATTTAATAATTCTATGTCCTTATCTGTAAAATGGGGATATTACCACCTCCTTGTAAGGTTGCCGTTATAACATCTAATAACTTATTAATGAGTTTGATACATGATGTGGTACATGGTAGATACTGAAAAAATAGTAGCTTTTAACATAGTTATTAATGCTGAGCAGTTAAAAATGTGACAAGCAAGAAAACACATGCAATACCTTTGATTAAAATGTGAGGTGCCATGATTAAAAGTCGCGTTCATTTTAAAACACACAAAACCCTGCACAGGTTCAAAACATTTGTACCCCTGCAAAATTTGTCTTTAGTCCACCCATGTTTATCAAACCATCCTTCTCTCCCCAACATCCCCCATTTAATAAGATCATTCCTCTCTTGGACTAAATGTTAAGAGTATAATATAATTCTTATACTATAAATAAAATTTTAAAATAGAATAGGATAATATGTTTTATTACCTTTACGATATACTAATCTGATTTGATTATACACAAAATAGCTCAGTGTTATTGAGTAAGTAATTATTTCCTCAGTCTCTGTAAAGTATATAATACTTAGAACCAGTACTTAAAATAATCTTCATAAAGTTTACAAATTGTACCAAGTAAAAAAATACAATATAGTTATTGCTTGTATACTCATTTAAACAAGTATCTATTGCAGCTTTACTACCTTACGGGAAAGCAAAAATGAACAATGACATAATCCTTGCCTTGTGCCTTACAGTCTAGCAGAGGAATTAGTCACATATACAACTAATCATCATAAAATATAAAAAGTACAGTATTAAAAATGAATAAAGAATTGTGGGAGCTCAAAGAATTATGGTAGCTAAATCTTCTAGGCTGAGGGTTGGTTCCTTGCAAGGGAAGTTACATATGAGGACATAGAGGAATTGAATAGATGGACAGGGAGATATACGGAATAACAAACAGCATGAACAATTTGCCACATATGTCTGGACAGTTTCACTGTCTTGTCATGAATACATATGTGCTACATGAAAAGGGAAAAGTGGCAGGTAATTCATCTTTCTGCATGTTTACTTATCCTTTGCTAAGAGTAAAACACTGTTTAAAACAAGGAAAACAAGTGAGCACACTCATTATTAGAATCATACCTATGCCTCGCTAACATTTATTCAAATGAACTATGTCCTCTGTCTTAATTAGAGTTATTGCTATTCACTCTGAGTTGATAACATGTAAAACTTTGGCGAAAACATTTGACTGTCACAGATTTATATTCTTAACCTAAATCTTTGCTGAATATTATTTCCAAATATTTACATCTATAAACAAGGCTGAGGCTCTTGTCTGAGTTAATAATGTCTTCTTTTTCTTTTTGTAGACAGAATAACATGAAAATATTAATAAGGTATATTACAGAGACCAGAGCTAGGAATAAAAGACTAGGCCACACGCTAGGGCTGCTTACTCGGATAGCCCAGTTCAACAAAAGAGTAATACAGGCATTTGCCACTTGTTTTTGCTTCCTTTAGGCTTTAGCTGTGTATATCCTCCTACAATAGCCCAGGAATTCATTCCTCTGTTGTGACACTTACCTTCATGATTAAGCTTCTATGTTCCACAGATTCACTAAAATTTGTGCCCATTTCAAATATACTTGTGACTCCATCCTCACACAAATTCATCCAGTAATGATATTCCTCACGCCCAGGAAGTCGATCCCAAAAAGTCCTGAAGGCTTCCCAGACAGCTTCCTGACACACTAGAAAATAGAGAGGTGTATTTTACAAAAAGCTAACATGCTCTGGGGTTCTTACAATGATCATAGACGGATTCATACAGATTCCTTGAGACACTCAAGTGTCCTTTCTGGAGGGACCTAGGAATGATTCTCAGTCAAAGTGTATGTCCAGTTTAAACTTTTCATTTCTGAAGAGAATTTATATTTCCCATTCCTTTCTCTTACAAAGGGAATTGATACATCTCTTCATGAGCTGGAGTGTCTCCCCCATCTCTTAAAAAAATCCATATTTATACTTTACAAAAGTGGAGCTGATATTGAGTATACTGTATTTAATCCAATTGTTTTCCTAATGGACACAGTGATTTTCAGTTTCCTTAATGTTCGCAGATGTTCTCCTAAAGTCTTCACTTGATCTTAGCCAAAAGGCCGAGAAGCGATATCCTAAAGTCTTAACTTCAAAAACCAGCTTCTTTGCTTTTCAGGATCACTGGGGAAGGAGACACTGACATATATAAATGGCCTGGAGCTTTTTGGCTAAATGCAGTGACATAACCGCATTGCATCTACTTGCTCAAAATGTCATCACGTTTCTGATTTAAAAAAAAAAAACAGGAGTATTCAAACTTTTCCTCAAAGCTTACAGGAAGCAGAAAGTACTACATGAAATCGAGTAGAAGATATCCACCTGAAATTATCACTCTCAAACTACTATATTTCATATCTGAGAACAGAAAATAATCGTCTTTTTTATACATAAAAACTTGTGTCCACACAAAAACCTGCACACAAGTATTTATAAAGTCGCTTTATTCATAATTGCCAAAACTTGGGGGTGACGAAGATGTCTTTCAATAGGTGAAAGGATGAACAAACTGTGATGTATCTAAAATATTACTCAATGATAAACAGAAGTGAACTTTCAAGCTGTAAAAGACATGGAGAAAACTTTAATGCACATTGCTAAGTAGAGGAAGCCAATCTGAAATGACTGCATACTGGTGATTCCAATACCATTCTGGAAAAGGCAAAACTATGGAGACAGTACAAAGATCAGTGGTTTCCAGGGGCTGGGGGAGACAGGGATGAACAGCAGATTTTTAGGGCAGTGAAAGTACTCCATATGATACTATAATGGAGGATACACGTCATTATACATTTGTCAAAATCCATAGAATGTAAAACACAAAGAGTGAACCCTAATGTTAACTATGAACTTCAGTTAATAATAATGTGTCAGTGTTGGCACATAAATTGTAACACATGTACCACAATAATACAAAATGTTAATAAAAGGGAAAAGTGGTGGGGGAGTTGAGGGAATATATGTAACTCTCTAAACACGCTGCTCAATTTTTCTGTAAACCTAAAACTGCTCTAAGAAATATAGCCTATTAATTTAAGAACTATATATATATACACACAAACATACATACATACACATGAACTTTAAAATGATATTCAGGAGAAATATATTGCTGTATTAAAATAAAAACTAATCAATTTATTTGCTAAGTTATTCCAAAGCATCAAATCTGAAAGGCTGCTAAATAGTATCTCTGTGCATTTTGCATAGTACTGAATGTACTGCTGTTTTGTAACCATTTCAGAGGTGCAGGACTCTGTAGGTAACAGATCAGGATGGAAGGGAAGAGGAAGAGAGTGATAAGAGAGAAAGTTAGATTTAACAGAGATTTTTTTAAAAAAACTATTTTTCATAGCAAGAAGATTGAATACACATCAGGCAGTATAGTGAGGTGGAGCCTCTGGATTCACATAGTCGGAAGATCTAAATTCCTGCTCTAGCTTTCTAGTACACTAGTTTGGTAACCATGGGTAACTTACCTAACTATTCAAAGCTTCAATTGACTCATCTCTCTTTTTTAACAGGATAAATAATTACTACCTTATTATCTTATCTGTGAAAGTATTTTACAAATTGCAAAGTGCAACATGAATATCATATGTTAGTATCAGGTTCAATTCTGATTGTCCAATAGTTATTTGGTGGAAGAAGATAGTCCAAGCCAAAAAAATTCTTAAGCTTTAACAGATTATGAAATGTATGAGTATTGAAAGTTTCCCTGTCAATTGAGTTTTAGGGCTAAACTGAACCTTTTATTACAAACTTAATTTGCCTTTTATTGAACTAACTGTATCCTTATTATTGTTATTCAGAACTTTTGACCATACAGCAGACAGAAGAGTCCAGCGGGCACTGACTGAGGCAGAGCTGAACTGTTTGTAGATCATTGTTTTTCATTTCTTCTTCTTAAAACTTCGAAATGAACATTAAAGTAAATTCCAAAAGACAACACAAAGGTGAAAAGTCTGGGTCAGTAAAAACTAACAAAAAGTGAATGTCTATAATGTGTGGTTATGAAATGAAGTGATTCAGAGAAAGTATTTTAAAAGTTTGAAAAAACAACTATCTACCCATAGGGAAAGAAAAAATAAATCTCAATGCCTTCTTCATACTATACACAAAAAATGATTTGAAATATTAGGGTTAATACTATGAAGTTTCTGAAATAAAACATAGAAGAGTATCTACATCACTTGAGGATAAACAAAGGTTTTATAGACTACACAGAAAGCAACAATTGTGAAAGAAAAATATAATAAACTAGAATTCATCAAAACTAAAGTGTCTGATTATCAAAAGACACTGTTAATAAAAATGAGTAGGCAAACCACATATCTAGCAGAAATTTTCAAAATACATTTATCTGACAAAGAATTGGGATTTAGGATACTGAAATAATTCCTACAACTCCCTAACAAAAAAAAACAAACAACCTAATTTTTACAGTAGGTAAAAGGCTGGAATATATAATTCACAAAGAAAGAGATACAAATAGCCAATGAGTATGTGAAAAACTGTTCACCATCATTCATTTTTCAGAGAAATTCAAATTAAAGTATACACATACAAACCAGAATGACTGAAATTTTTACATGGAAAACACCAAAATTTGGCAAAAATGCAGAGCAACCAAAAGCCTCATTTTGGTAAGAATGTATAATAGTACAACCACTTTGAAAATAAATGTTGTTTCTTATATAACAAGATATACACCAATCCTATTGTATTAGTTCATTCTCACGCTGCTATGAAGAAATGCTCGAGAATGGGTAATTTATAACGGAAAGAGATTTAATTGACTCATAGTTCCACATAGGTGGGGAGGCCTCAGGAAACTTACAATCATGGTGGAAGGGAAGCAAACACATCCTTCTTCACATGGCAACAGGAGAAAGAAGTGTTGAGTGAAGTGGGGGAAAGCCCCTTATAAAGCTATCAGATCTTGTGAGAACTTGCTCACTATCATGAAAACAGCATGGGGGAACCACTCCCATAATCTAATCATCTCCCACAAGGTCCTACCTCCAACAAATAAGGATTACAATTTGGATTAAAATTCAAGATGAGATTTTGGGTGGGGATACAGGCAAACTGTATCATTCTGCCCTGGCCCCTCCCAAATGTCATGTCCTCACATTTCAAAACACAACCATGCCTTTCCAACATCTCCCAAAGTCTTAACTCATTCCAGCATTAACTGAAAAGTCCAAGTTCAAAGTCTCATCTGAGACAAGGCAAGTCCCTTCCACCTATAAGGCTGTAAAATCAAAAGCAAGTTAGTTACTTCCTAGATACAATGGGGGTACAGACTTTGGGTAAATACACCATTGCAAATGGGAGAAATTGGCCAAAATTAAGTGAAATCTTAAAGCTCCAATATGATCTCTTTTGACTCCATGTCTCACATCCACGTCACACTGATGTAAGAGATGGGCTCCCACAGTCTTGGGAAGCTCCACCCCTGTGGGTTTGCAGGGTACAGCCCCCCTCCTAGCTGCCTTCACAGGGTGGCATTGAGTGTCTATGGCTTTTCCAGGTACCTGGTGCAAGCTGTTGGTTGATCTACCATTCTGGGGTCTGGAGGACAGTGACCCTCTTCTCACAGCTCCACTAGTCAGTGCCCCAATGGGGACTGTGTGGCAGCCCCGAGCCCACATTTCCCTTCCACACTGCCCTAGCAGATGCTCCCCACAAGGGCTCCATCCCTGCAAAATCTTCTGCCTGGACATCCAGACATTTCCCTACATACTCTGAAATTTAGGTGAAGGTTCTCATACCTCAATTCTTGACTTCTGTGCACCTTCAGGCCCAACACCACATGTAAGCCGCCAAGGCCTGGGGCTTGCACCCTCTGAAGCAACAGCTTGAGCATTATGTTGGCCCCTTTTAGCCATGACTGGCGTGAAGGGCACCAACTCCAGAAACTGCATAAAGCAGCAGGCCTCTGGGCCTGTTATGAGAGGGGCTGCTGTGAAGACCTCTGACATGCCCTGAAGACATTTTACCCATTGTCTTGGTGATTAACATTTGGTTTATCACTACTTATGCAAATTTCTGCAATCAGCTTGAATTTCTTCTCAGAAAATGGGTTTTCTTTTCTATCGCATTGTCAGGTTGCAAATTTTCTGAACTTTTATGCTGTGCTTCCCTTTTAAACATAACTTTCAATTCCAAACCATATCCTTGTGAATATATAAATATGAACGCTTTTAACAGCACCCAAGTCACCTCTTGAATGCTTTGCAGCTTAGAAATTTCTTTCACTAGATACCCTAAATCATCTCTCTCAAGTTCAAAATTCCACAGATCTCTAGGGCGGGGACAAAATTCCACCAGTCTCTTTGCTAAGACATAGTGAGTCACCTTTATTTCAGTTCCCACAAGATTCTCATCTCCATCTGAGACCTTCTTTCAGCCTAGACTTCATTGTCCATATCACTGTCAGCATTTTGGTCAAAACCATTCAACAAGTATCTAGGAAGTTCCGAACTTTCCCACATCTTCCTATCTTCTTCGGGGCCCTCCAAACTGTTCCTACCTCTGCCTGTTACCCAGTTCCAAAGTTGCTTCCACATTTTGGGGTATCTTTACAGCAATGCCCTACTACTTGGTAGCAATTTGCTATATTAGTTCATTCTCATGCTGCTATGGAGAA